TGTGAGATCTCTGATGCAGCATGAGGTCGTTGCTCCACTCTGTAGTAGTGGTGGTGCCACTTCGTGAAGGAATCGATGAGGACCATGTATTCCGACGTTCCCCTCTACGTCCAGTAGCACTAGCCTCCACGGCATCATCGAATCCTTCTATAGGATCTATTGATGTCGTTGTTATCGTCGTGTTACCCTCAATAAAAAGCATAGTAGATGCTGGAGGGGGCGACGACGGTACAACCAACATGGTAAAGGAATATTATGATGCAAGAAGAAACAAAACAGCCTGAGGCTGATTGATAATGATAACGACGGCAATATGGGCGTGTTAAAGCAGATTAATGGCAATGCTACTGGTCTGGCGCTACTGTACTCAACACATGCCGATTAGAGTGAATGCCAATGAGTAATAGACGATGATGATGGGTACTTATAAAATAGATACCCTGTGTAGTGGTGGTCCAACAAGATGACCATGATGATAAAGATGAGTCTAAGAAGACCTGATTGGAGGCTGCTGTGTCGAAACAGTCTAAGAAGCCTGATAATTGCGAGACCTAAACAATAAAACATGTATAAAAAGTGGAATCAGGATATGTGAGAGTAAGCAGTAATATGATGCAGTAGAGGATGATATACAGCATATGTAGTGTACTCTTCTTACCCTTAATATGATGCCCATCAACTTGAACTCTATGATATGATATGGTATAGCAATAACCAGCAATAACCAAGTACTAACTTATGAGTATCATCTTTATTATAGCTGCTTATGGGCATCATGAGGAATGCCTATAAACTCCTATATTGTTAGTAACACACCCTGTAATCATTTTACATAATATATATACTCCCAACGCTACGCTTTTCATGAGTTATCATCATCGTGATGGTGGTTATAGTGATAATACAATATAGTATGAGAGAGCTACGTACTATGGACCTTATCATAAACGATACCACTAGGAAAAAGCTTATACTAACTACTGTCATCATCATCCTAACGGGACAGGGATGATGATGAGGGTAGAGGAACAACAACGGCAAATACAGAGTTGTCATATTCTTGTATATATATAAGTACCAGCGAGACCTGATAATGTTATAAGGAGATGATAATATATCCACGTACATGTATCATACTAAACCATCAATCCTCGCATAATACTGATGATAGTAGCATATACTATAAGTAGTCCAAACATGAAATATCGCTCATTGTTCCTTACTCTCTTATACCCCTATGATACTAGATACGTGTTAATAGTAGTAGTACTACCTATCATTAATAAGGAGCCGTCCTTTGACCTCGACCAGCAGCATTATAAGCAGCAGCTTCCTGATAAGCTGCCATAAAGTTGTAAGCCTGTTGCTGTAGCTGTTGTTGTTGGGCAGCAGCAGCAGCAGAAGCAGCAGTCATTGCCATAGATCCTTGATAGTTGTAAGCTCCTGGACCAGCGGGGGATGTACCCTGAACCATAGGAAGGGCTTGAGGTTGTTGAGGCATGTTAGTAGTAGTCATCGTAGCGGGCCCTTGTGATGGGATCATCGTCGAGGCGGCATGACCTACGCCCTGTTGTTGTTGTTGTATGGGACTTGATACTGGTACACCAATGTGTTGGTGTTGCATGTACTGTGATGGGGTTCTATTGCCAGAGTTGTTTAGCTGTTGTTGTTGTTGTTGTTGTTGTTGTTGTTCTTGGGTATGATGGATGTAGGGATTATCGTTATAAGCTCTGAAAATGATGACGATAATCTATAATGGGTAGTGATATCGTAGTTCTATTACTGCATTGACATCATCGTATTGTTTGATGCCACCCTTCCTCCAGTTGCTTGTCCCTGTTGAGCTTGCTCATTACCGTATCCCTGCTGCGGTTGTTGTGGATAGGATTGCATTGCACCTTGTTGCGGTCTTAATGATGATACCGTCATAACGTTAGCCTGTTGTTGGGTAGTAGGAGTAGAGCGGTATACATGAGTATCTCCTTGGAGTTGGTGTAATGGTGGTACATTATACTGCATATGTGGGGGTGTATGCACTCCTCGACCGTAAGTGGCAGGTACTCCTCCTCCTCCTGCTCCTGCTGGTGGAGGGGGTGGAGGCTGATTGATAGTCGTAGTAGTAGCAGGGGGAGGAGGCCTGGAACCTGGCGTCCGCATCATCATCTGCCGTTCCATGGGGCCGGATACATTCCGGTCATAAGGGTTACAGAAGGGCTTCACCTGGATCTACCAAAGGTGTGCAAATAATGGTAATGAGGTAATATAACATTGCACTTACCCATTTGGAATCGATATAGTTATTATTGCCACCATGGCATGCTGCCTTGGCCTGTGATGGATCACCCATAATAGCAAAGCCGAATCCTTTATGACGGCCCGTCTCCATGTCACGGTATATTCTAACCTCTGCTACCCTACCATATCGGGATAAATGATGGGCTAGCTTATCTGAGTACACACATCCTCTCCCACCATTACGAGGGAGACTAGAAGGAATAGTACCTTCATCAACCGATGGAGGTATACCACCAAGGAAGACTTTGCACGGGCCATCCATCGTATAACTAATGATAAGAAATAATATAAACATACCAATCCTGAGAGCATCATCATCATTACCCTGTAGCATCATCGTGATTATTGAACCGATTAGTGTTGGGCGTAGCAGGAATGTTGGTTGGTGGTCGTAGCAAGGGCTTTATCTCAACCTACCATGAACAGCAATTATAATATAATGATAATAACAATAAATAACTTACACATTTAGCGTCAATCATATTGGCATCTCCACTTCTTATGGCAGCATTAGCCTCAGCAGGTGTCGAATAAGTAGCGCGGCCGTATCCTTTATTCCTACCAGTCTCCTTATCATACATGATATCACAATCTATAACACTGCCATAGCGGGATAATAGGGCTATGAGCTTATCTACACATAGAGTATCATCATTACACAACCCGTCGTAATAATCATTCTACCTTTATCCCCACTGACTGGGATACCACCAATAAAGACCTTCCTGGGATCATCAACCAGACGACTAGGATCCACCCTATGCTCTAAGGAAGGGATATTATCTGGGAACACATGATCGAAAGAGGTAGTATCCAAAGGAGTATATAGTTACTATATCCACTGCCTGCTGCCCTTGTTGGATGTGATAACATGTCGATGCGTCGAGGTGCCGGCCCAGCATTGCCAGCAGAAGAGTACGCTTCTTACATCAGCCGCTCGTTTCACATCGATGACCTTCTCATAAGAACATGGGGGCTGTGGGCAGACACGTCTGTGACACCAGAAGCATGACGATGAGATGACGTCGTCTATAATCACTACTACCTC